GAGAGAGAGAGAGGGAGGTTTATATAAGTTTTCAACCTTATACTATAATAATGAGGTGCACTTGAAAAATTCACGGGGAAAGGTTGTTCCAATGCTGGAAACCTTCAATTGATCATTTCAACCTTTAGATGTGTGGATATGAAAAAAAGCGGTAAGTCCTAAAATATTGGATCGCATAATACATTATCTGGACCGTCTATTTTTAAGATTTTCATGTATTCATAGATTTGTTTGATTTGCAGCATTTTTGAAGCTTTAAATTTTGTAATTAGGAGTTTGAACAAATTTTCACACCATCATAAAGTCTCCAACACCAGAACTTTATCTTTAGAAAGGGTTTGGAGGTACGACTTACTTTAATTGTTTAAGGTGGGTTCCTTATAAAAATTGTACCCAGCATAATCTCCCTTTAATTTTCCAAGGTTTATTGCACCTGTCAGCATTCTTGATTATTCAGGTTTCTTAAGATCGATTTGCTAGTGATAGGCATGTGGGTTTTGAGGCATTGAATTTGTTGTAGTTAGGGGCTCATTGCATCCAGGGGTAGTCGAGTGCTTCTTGATCTGCAACAATGGGTATTAGAGCTTGAGGGAAGTGTGTAATAATTTGGAAAAGGTGATAAGTTACAAATTTGATTTATGAAGACATAAAAAGATAAAAGATAATCAACACATATATGTCTTTTCTCCTAAAATATTGTATTAAGCCTGAAAGTTTATAGCCAAACTCAAAACATAAAAGATAACCTTTGGAGTTTGGGTACAAATGTTAAAAATAAGATTTTATTATTTGAGGATGAGAGATTATAGAAGTGTTAGAACTTAGAACACTTGAATGAGTTCAAAATCATCATTTGTCAACTTGAGAGTATCGGGGTGAAAATGGATGATATGGATAAGGAGGTGACGTTCCTTTGTTGATTACCAGAGTTTTATGATAATCCTTTTACTACCTTGAGTTGCCAATGTCTCAAGTTGGATTCGGTTTGTAATGTTTTTCTTGCATGTGAAATTTGAGAGAAGATATAGATGAATGGTTTGGTGTATTCAAGGATGGAGGTTCTTGTAGTAAGAGTGCGAGCAAATGACCATAGATTGGTGAAGGTTGATATGGCTAGAGTGTTTTGTACTACTCAAGTGTTGATGGGAGTTAGCATGAGATTTGTCATTTTGCTTGTTTGTAGTTGCCTTTGTTGACTTGCAATTAAGCTAGAAAAAAAACTAGAAGAGTAAAATTGTCACGTAGGTGTTTAAGAAGTATGGGATGTATGCCAAACCTTTAGGCGTTTACATGGTTTCATGGAAATGGATTATGCAAGGGATCTTGCTAGCAAGTATCGTGCACACGTTGTGCTTGTTGGTGTGGGACCAAGGTTTCACCTTAAGCATGTATGACAGTAGGATGGCCTCAGGAACTCAAGGGTGAGAGAGTTGAAGATGGCAAACTTGACATGAGAAGAATAAGCACAATGAGAAAGGCATGCTCATGGAGGTTATTTAACTGAGAGCTAAAGGCACCGGTTAAATTCTCTAGTTTCTAGAAAATGGAGAAACCGGATGTGGTTGACAAGTTAAGGGTGAGAGTTTTGTATCAAGGTGGAGATATTGGTTCGCTGATACTAATAATCATATGGAATTTCTCCCTTGTTTTAGGAGCATTTTTCTTAACAATAGAGATACTTGAAATGAGTGTTTAAAAGCTCAGTTTGGAGATAGAGACATTGGGTCTTGTGCGGTAGAGTTTTTGGTAAAGTTGAGATTTGGGTTTTTTTTTATTAAAACCGTTCCTACCAGTGTGCCCCATTTGGTGTTCCATTTGTACTTCAATAGTAAATGGAGCTATGGTGATGGAGTAGACAATGGAGGTTGGTTTAATGGTTATTTTATGGCAGTGGAGAAAGGAATAGGAGATGCTCAGCCATTAGGAAATATCATAAATTTACCTCAATCTTTTTTATTTTTTGAATGTTAACTTGGAATGGATAGGAATGGTACTTAAGACATCACATGGAACCCTACCACACTAACCACCCTTAGTTCTCGGGAGTTGGAGTAGGTGCAAGAGCTTGAGTGGCAGACTAGGATCGACCCATGGATGAAGCTCCCTACCTAGAGAGTGCCTAGGAGCATTGTTTAGGAAGCTTCCAGGTACAAAATGTTTATAGGATTTCTTGGGGATCACCTATTTATATATATAAATTTTTAAGTAATCTAAAAAATTGAGAAATGTATAATCTACTTTTTAGCATTATCTACACACAATGAGAACTCTATAGCCCAAAGTCCATAACAAATTGAGAAAAATGATAGTGGAGGGCCATGATAAGAACCAAAATTAGGAATCGCCTAAAGGCCTTATGGTGAGACAATGTGATTCACTGTAGTGAGATTGGGCTGATTCTTGATAACTCTCTTTAGGACCATCCGCGACTAGGGAGCCTCTCGGGTCAGAACCGACTTCATGGATTTTGAGCCGATTCACCAATTTGTAATCTGTGCAAACCATGACCATGTCAACAACAAACAAAAATCGTCTACAAGTGATCATTAGCTAGAAAATTGTTAGAAAGCAAGAAGAAAAAAACAAGCACAAAATAAAGGATGTTATGTTCAAAATTCAAGAACTTTCGAAACTTCCCCTAGGATCGAGATCCTTTCAAACCATGATTCCTTCCCATCTTCAGGGGTTTTGTGATCTCTTTCCAAAGGAGTCTAGATCCCTTTTAGTCAGGAATCAATATTCTTATACAACAAGGATCAAGCTCCCTTGATGGGGGAGCGAGCTCTGCTTGGGCACTAGCTCTGGGATTGCCGGAGCGAAACGTGAATGGGGAACCACCACTCCTAATCAAGCTCAACAAAGATCATTGAAATGAGTGTTTAAAAGCTCATTTTGGAGATAGAGAAATTGGGTCTTGTGAGGTAGAGTTTTGGGTAAAATTGAGATTGGGGGTTGTTGGCAAAACCATTGCTACCATTGTGCCCCATTTTGGGGTTGTTTTATTGGCACTTCAACTGTAGGTGGAACTGTGGTGATGAAGTGGACAATGGAGGTTGGTTTGATGGTTGCTTTATTGTAGTGGAAAGGGACTAGGCGATGCTTTGCCTATTGTGAAGCAACTCATGTATTACCTAAATCATTTTTTTTTTTCCTAATGTTAACTTAGAATTGGTGGAATGGAACTCAATGCATCACGTGTCACCCCACCAGCCGACCTAGTCCTTGATTCCTTTCCTTTGTATTCCCCTAAATCTTGAAATTCTCCTTGACAATGAAATTGTATCCTTATCAATTACTTGTGGATGCAACTTGATTACGGTGAACCATGTATATATTTGTGTTGGTGGTGTTTGGGATTGTGGTTTATAGTGTGTTGTTATGGTTTTAGATTTTCCCTATTTTGCTTCGTGCTCTCCTTTTATTTCCTCAAATTTATTATGCCAAATATTGTTCTCTAATGCTCAGGTTTCTTTAGATTGATTTGTCAGTGATAGGCAAGTTGGTTTTGAGGTACTGAATTTCTTGCAGTAGAAGGCTCACAATGAAAAAGGCGTAATTGTGTAAGTCTTGGTTCCTAACATATTGATGATGAGTTTCCATATGCTCATGGTCATTTACTCCCACATGATTGGTTCCTCTGCAATTTATGATTGATAGGAGTTTTCAAATAATTTGGAAACTATTTTTCTTCATATTGGGGTATGTATATGGCATGGATCCATTTGACAATTCTAGTCATCTTTCCTGGCTTTATCTCTTGTGCTTCTGTTTAGTCTATCTTATTGATAAACACAATGACCTTTTGCTATGTCTCGATTTGCATGCATGGATGCTTTCTTTTGGTAGGGATGTGTGTGTGTGTGTTTTAGGATATATAAGTCCATATGTTTATATTACATTTTTTTTTTTTTTGAGGCTTATATAAGAGTTGACTTATCCTTTTGGTGAATTCCACAGGTAGAGATTATTGCAACCTTAGAGCATATTGAGACAGCCAAAAGGGTCAGCTAACAGCAGTAAACAGGGTTGAAAGGCAGCAGCACTGGCATCAGATACATCTTGTATGAATTGCAAAGAATGAATCTAATTTTAGGGTTCAAAGTAACAATGACTTTAAGTTTTGGCGATTAATCGATACAGTTTGGGAGAAGTATGTATTATCAGTTATGCTGTGATTGAAACATTGACTGCTTGTCCAATCAAGGAATTGAGCCTCATTGTGAATACCTGTTTAATTGGGATAGTTTGCTGGATGATCAGGTAATAACTACTTTTATTGTAAGATTAAGAACTTCCAGTTCTGATTTGCACAAAATTAAGGTTTCTCAAGTGAGTGCCTTATCCTGAACCAATCAAGAGTTCATGTAATGATGTTTTCAAGAGCTGTTCCCCTACCATGTTATTATCTTTTAAGTGGAATAATGGACTTGATGAACAAGTAGTAAAGTAATTGATGATCTTTCATTCTGTGTCGTGTGTTCTATTAGAGAGGTAGTTTAGGTTCTATTATTAAGTGACTATGGAATATCTTTATTGGAGATATCTGGTTTGAGGACAAACTGTACAATGGGTGGAAGGACTAAAGAGGCCTATGATAGATGCTTAGTAGCATCACGGCATGATAATTTTTGGCAGAAAACCTTGAAGAATGTGGCCTCACTAAAGAATGCTAAAATAGGAAGTGATACTAGTGTCCAGTTAATATCATTTTTGTTGAAAGTTGCAGCTTTGGATGTAGTGAGAAGGTTCTCAAAAGCAAGGGTCCCGTTCTTATGGAGGGGGATTCAAGGACTTCACGTTCTTAGTTGCTTACCGTTCAAATGGATGGAGAAATGGAGGCCCCTTAGGAATTTGGTCAGAGGAACTCAGGTTCTTCTTTTTTACTACTCTGTCAGTTGCATTTTACCAAAGTACTTGCAAAGCCATGTTTTGATTTTCCATAGTTATGATGCACTGATCTTTTGGAGAGCTTTCTTGAATTGTGCTGGGTCATGGAATGTAGAATTGATGAATTGAAACTGGTATTTCGCTTCCTTAGTCTAACCTTATGTTTTTTAGCAGCTGAAAAGGTTTCACTAGATAATGAGTGCAAGTAACTTCCATATGCATTATTTATCATTTAGTGCATTTTCTATTATTAAAGAAATAGTGTATGCACTTGGTCACGTTTACCCAAAAGCTGGTACTCTGAATAGTTCTGACCCTTTTTAACATATGAGATAGAACTATAATATCTCATCTTGTTCTAGCATCTGATTTTCTATTATGACTGCTCATCTGATAGTGCTACAAATACAGAGAAAGAAAATCAAGATTAATGCACTTTTGGAAAAGCTTTGCATGGATGAATTTCTTTTAGCTAGCAAGATTATCATATTATGTTGAAGATGGTGTGAGAATTCAAAGTTGTCCTTATACTTGTCATGATTGGAGTACTCTTAGGTATCAGAAAATTCTTCATTGCTGGATTTTCCATTATAGGGCCAGGTCCATTAACATGCTTATACATCTACATTGCGTTCAGATTTTCAATATTTCATCATTTTATTCCAATTAGATTGATTGCTGGAACTTTTACAAGTCTATGAGATTTATGCATTCTCAAGGCCAATAAATCAAACCTGCACTTGCATATGTTACTTTCATCATTTGAATTCATACTTGAATGGCACTTGATAGTAAAATAAGTAGACGTTCATTTTGTAACTGGATTTTTACTTTCAAAACATTGTATTCTCTCCTTGGTGTGATGTGGTTTGATCTTTAGTCATGGTGCGCTATTTTGCCAGAAACTGTCTGCACCATTATTTTTCCTTTCAATTGCGACAATTTTCTCCGATCAGTCTGATGATCAAAATGATTCTCCAAACAGTCTGGCTGCTACTACAGAACTTCCTGAGTCGTCTTCTGAGAAATCAACTTCCAGTACAAGGTATGTTCACTACCACATTTCAATTTTGTATATTGAGGTCCTTTTTCTCAGCATGAGATTTACATGCTTTGAATTATAGCACAGATATTTTGCTAATAATCCGTCATCAAAGCTGCTTGTGTATATCAAGTCTAGAGGCTACTGAAGTAAACTTTTACAGAAAGTAAATGTAAAGAGGAATCTTTTTGAGAATTGGAAATTTTTCTTAATGTGCAAGTGTATGCTTGTTATTGCCACTACTTTGCTTTTGTTAGATTAAATCTTTATCTTGTAAATACTTTTTTTAGTGTGCAAAAGTCTTTTTACTGCTTGCTAGATATGGAAATTATGATTAATAATACTGGATTATGTAAATGCTAATAATACAGTTGTTTATAAGATGGAACGGAATGTGCACTATGAACTTCTTTTTGATATACTTTGTGCATTCTTCTAGCACTTTTTCATTGTTTGGTATGATTTCTAAGTGATATTGTACTCACAATGGATGTGCACATCACATCCAAGCTCTTGTAAATTTATCAACAGAAGGATGGTAATTAGATCGTTTTGGACTGATTTTTGCTTTGATTGGAGCATATTGCTTGCTCAAGTTTTCTTGCAAAGTTCTAATTTGGGAGAAGGTGCAATTTATTGGAAACAATTTTGACTTGCTACATTTTGCACTATATTAGTCTTGGTTTATGGTACCATGAGGTGACAGAATATAGAAAATGAGAAGAGAGTAGGACCAGGTGACTATTATATGATGAGGCACATGTAGCTTCATTGAATAGCTACCTAGCAAGTAAGGTATTTTTTTCATTAGTGGACATGGGTATCAAAATTTCTCTTTCAAATCTAGAACCATCAAATTCTTCCAGAAAGAACACCTCACTTACTGTTTGAGAATCAAAGTTATTCTGGAAGCTGTCCAAGGCACTAGGGATGCCCGATGCTCTCTGTGCTTGGATGCGGCCAGGGTGTATCACTTTCTATTTAGAGAATTAGTATCAAACAATGTTCAAAATAGCTCAAGGCTTCAAGCAGATGCCTAGGCATTTTGGGGGCCTGGCCGCCTAGGAACTAGTCACATAAGAATTAACATATAAATTATTGCATAATTATTATTTATTAATTAAGATCCGTAAGATTTGGTTTTGGATATCACATATTCACAAAATATCAATTTCATCCAAAGTTTATGACTATCCACAAAATATAAGTTCAAATCTGTAAATATATCTACAAATATGTAAAAATATTGTAAAACAAAACTAATAGGATATAAAAACATCACACATTGTACAATATAAGAACGAATTATTCATAAAAGAATTCGATATAGGACCAATTTCATTGTCTAAACGAGTTAACAATCAATTAATCACAAATAAAATCAATCTTTCAACTACAACCACAAATAAAAGACAAAAAAATTAAAAAATAATAAATGATTCAAAACATAATACGTTATAGCAAAAAAAAAAACCCCTTATTCAAATATTTAATGGCATAATGCTCTAAAAATAAATGTTGTCAAATTCGCTTCGGAACCTTCTTCAGTTTTATCAGAAAAACGAAGCAATTCGGTGCTTCAGCCCATTCAGGGGGAAGACTTCGAATTTTTTTTTTTAAAATTAATATAAATAAAGTATATCTCATATATTATAACATATTAAAAATTTAAAATTAAAAATAACAGAAAAAAGACGTTACGTTTTACTGCTGGTTGTATACTATGAGAAGAAAGGCTAGTAGAGAGAGAAAATAAATGAGGGCGTCTAAGACTAGATATGTAGAAAGCGAGAGTTTGAAAGAATAAGGCCATTAGAGAGAGAAAATAGAGAGAGGTTGGAGAGATAATGAGATGGAAAGAGAGAGAGTTTTTGAATGGGTGGATCTGTGGGATATTATTGATGGGAAAAGTGGCGGCCCATTTAATGCCTAGTGTTAGAGGTCCGTGCCTCTGCCACTCGTCAAATCTGCATAGCGGCATATTTAATGGGGAAAAGATATAGAAGTTTTGGGGAAGTTTTCCTCTATTTGAATCAAGCCAAGCCGCAGTAAGCGCTTGCTTCGTTTACCGTCGAAAGTCTTCGTTTGAATCAAGCCCCTGAGGACGCGAGTGACGCTCTGAACTCCTCTTACTGAACTGATCTTTTCTTTTCTGACTTTACGGTCGGTTCATCCGTATGGCTCGAAAGCAAGCCAGCATTCTGCTCTGCTCTGCTCTGACTTGACTTCTGCAGGACGGACTCTGACTTTAGCAAGGTTCGTTAAGTCGGTTTGTAGCAGTGCCTCTGATCTCCTCTGCTCTTACTCCTATTACTCTCTAGATGGAATGGATTTGGTTTTGGGGGTTTGGAATGTCCCCCAAAACCCTTTTCCTTTATTTTTTTTTAAACCCTTTTCCTTTCTTATTTTTTTTGGCGGGGGGGGGGGGATTACTATTTTGACCAGCTGAGGGCATTTTTCTGCCCTTGGCAACCTAAATCGAGGTGGCGCCTAGGCGGCCGCATTGACTGTAGTGCCTAGGCGGACTCCTAGATGCAAGCCGCCTTGGTTTTGCCAAGGCGTTTTAGGTGATTGGCGGCCTAGGCGGCTGGGCGGCCGAATATTCCAGCACTGGTATCAGAAAATTCACACAATTTTTAAGAATCCAAAGAGTACCATGAATATCTGATTTACATGATTGTAGGCATTTAATTTTAATTGTCTCAAACATGTACTCTGGCTATAGTAACTGAGACATTCTTATAAATAGCATTTAAAATCAAATGATTTGATCTATTCATCAAATTCAATAAAAAGCAAACTAAATGTCATTAAAGCAAGTAACTAAGTAAGAAAGCAAGTATGTTATGATACTACTAAAAGAAATTAAAAAGGTCCACCAGTAGCGTATAAGACCAAAATCCAAAGTTTTAAGACCAAAACACAATGACAAATAATAAAATAAAATGAGGACTCAATCAGCCACATGACAGATTATGTGGCTTCGCTGAAGTGGGCAGCCCTAGGAGGGTATTATGCGCCCAGAAATATCATTCCTTGATTTAATCCCCTCAGAACCAAAAAATTTACTTCTAAGTGGTTTTGTGGGAGTTAAATGCATCCCAAACCTTTCCCCCCTTCATTGAGGGGAAAAAGATCATTCTGCCTACGAGCAGACTTAATATATGCTGCTGCATAGGCTCTCTCCTCAATGCTATTGCCTATGTGGCTGATGCACCGTCTAGGCAGGTGCATCATGTATACCTGCCTACATTGGCTCCAGCTGTGGGGTCAAGTTTCATGCTGCCTTGATGTGGCCACATAATACCGGATGCTGCGGCATTGAGTAACTCTGATGAGTACTTTTTAATGGTATTTACTCCCTTGGTTACTTAAACTTGAATTTTGAATCCTCTTAAGACGTATTATTTGGTCCATGTTTGAGGTGAGATGCTTAGTCATATCAACTTGAAAAAAAGAAGCAATTTTACCATTTTATTATGCTTCATGTTGGGATTAGTTGTTGAGATTTTATAATTGTTATCTTGTTTGTCTCTCCTCTTGTTTGTGGCTTTCACTTTCATTGCAATTTCACTTTCACTTTCATTGCAATTTCACTTTCACTTTCACTTTCATTGCAATTACAAAGTTTTTTCTTTTTAGAAGTCTTAAATTTTTAATGCAAAAGGATCCATAAACCTTTATAGTGTCTAAGTACTGGAGAAGGGAGAGAGAATGGGGAAAAAAAAAGGAAACAACCCTAGGGTTTAGTTCTAACAGCCCTAGGAAGTGGCCCCCTATTTGTTTTTTTCTTATTTAGGGTAGAGAAGAAAGCAAGAGAGGAGAAAGGATAAATGCTCTGTACCATGTTAGGAATGGCGAGAGAGAAAAAGAGAGAGATGAAAAGAAAAGAGGAAGGAAGAGAGAGTGACATGAGAGTTCAATAGGTCTCACACGCATCTCAAACATGTTTATATTAATAAAACTAGAGAAATGTCAATACTGCCCATGCAAACTGGAAATGGGACATATAGGTCCTATTAACTTAAATAAAAGACAAATAAAGATAAAAAGGACTTTTAATTAGTTTACTACATTTATCAATTTGTTTGTAAAACTGTAGAAAAAATTCGTCCACATGACCATACCTTGCTTTATAAATTTGTTTCTATTGTTGCTCCCTTCCACATTCCCTCTAACCTCATGTGAAAATCCACATATCCAGTGGCTGTCCCTCCTAACCGACATGTTCACATCATTTCCAACTCTACTCTCATTTTTGGTTATTTAGTGCTATTTTTTATGCTTAAATCTGTTTATATTTAGGGTTGGGCATTTGCAGGCTTGGAGGGAATTTGTGTATGATCAAAGAGTTTGAAGGATAGGCTGTCTTTGAAGGCAATTCACAATATACTCTCAGATGGCTTGAAGTGTTTCTTCAATTCCATGGAGCGAGAAGGAAGTATTTTGAGATTTTTCGATGATCGAATTCTCGGAGAAATTAACGTTGTGTATGTTTGTTATGTAGTATGGTGCCATACTGGTCTAAGAAGGGTGAGGACCTTAAACTTTCCTTTAACCCGTCCCAAGCCCGGGTAATGGGAGGTGGGTTGTGTTAGATACCAGCCAACATAAAACTTTGCCAAAACTTTCAATGAATCCTGAAACTACGTTATCTATTTTGGTGGGCTAGGATTCATGTAGCTGCCCCCAAATAGTTGGGACAATGCTATGGTGATGATGATAAAGTCCCTGATACATTATGTTTCTGTTTGGTAGAGATGAATTGCCAGGCAAAGCCTTAGTATGCCTAATGAATCAAAGTACATGACTAGCTGTAAAGGACCAATAAGGAATTCATGTTCCCCTCCACACAATACTTTTATTTCCTGCTTGATTGGCCTACTTGGAACTAAAACTGATGGAAACCATGTTATCACTGCAAAAAGTATCAAATAATATGCCTAAAAGCCACCAAAAATCTGCATTGGAAGTGGTCCTCCAAGTTGACTTGTCTAATTTTAGAGAAAATTATGTACGAACACTATTGGGAGGGGCCAATTACCAAAGAGGGTCCCATTGTCCCAAAATTACGCCCACTACCCCTCACCCATGGCATTTTTTTTTCTAAATTGTCCCCTGTCTGGTAATGCCAACATCGGATACGGAGAGGGCCTATTTTAAACTGAGCTATCTTCTAAACTATTTTTTTCTCTCCCTTTTTCACACTTCTTTCCGACTATTACTTTCCTTCCTCTCCTCTCTTTCTCTCTCTATTTCTTCCACTCTCTCTTCTCTTTTACGGTCACCCTGTTTTTACGTCCCTTCTCTTCCCACTTTCTCTCTTCTCCCTTCTCCATTCCAAACCATTTCTTTTGTTCCATCCGCAGCACCAAAACCCCAAAAAAGGCAAAAACAAGAAAGGAAACACCAATATCATCCCACCAGCAATCCCCTTAGAGATAGACTGAGAGTCACGTAGAGAAAGTAAGAGGAGAAGCAAAAGTTGGAAAGAGAGAGAGGAAGAGGGAGAGGAGAGGTGAGGATCATGGGCGGTTGAGATAGAAAGCTGTAGAGACAGTAGGTGGGGGATAGAGTGAGGAAGCTAGAAGAAATTATGGATGAAGGCATTGGTGGCAGCAGCACAGGACCCGACGAGGGCTCTGGCACTGGCAGTGTAGCTGAGTCATCCTCCCCTGCTCCCCTGAGCCTCTATGAGTCGCAAAAGCGGCCGGACTGGAACACCTTCTTCCAATACGTCAAGAACCACAAGACCCCACTTTCTCTCTCTAGACACAGCAGTGCCCACGTGATAGAGTTCCTCAAATACCTCGACCATTAGGCACCTGAGCCCACCAAACCCATGTGCTTACCTGCTGAAGCAGTCAATTCCCTTTTTCTCTCTCTAAAAACTGGAATATCTTTGCAGTCTCCACCCATGGAAGTTTGCCCTTCCACCACCAAAACCTCTCCGTGATTGGTTACTGTTTTCTATTTGTTGAGGGTTTTCAACTGGAGTCTCTCTGCAGTCCCCACCCATAAAAGTTTGCCCTTCCACCATCAAGATCTCTCCGTGCTTGGTTGCTGCTTTTTATTTGTTGAGGGTTTTCATTGGATTGAGGCTTTTGGAGTTTCTATTGTGGATGGATGCGATTTGCTTTATCCGGCATTTACACACACTCTCTACCTCCCTTTCTCTGTCATCCAGGTTATTGAATTATCCCGGTTTCTCTCTGGAGAAAATTACGTATAGAGAGCTGTCCGGTAATTTGAATGCCGGACATCAAAGTACTAAAAAATTTAAATGACGCGAGCTGTTCTGTAATTCAAATGTCGGACAGCTCTTTTTACTTTTAAATTACAATAGGCCTCCTCCTGTCCCGTGTTAGCATTGTCGAACAGGGGGACAACTTAGGGGAAAATAAATACCGCGGGGTAAGGGGGTGTGCTCATAATTTCGGGGAAATGGGACCCCATTTGGTATTTGACCACTCGCAATAGTGTCCGTACGTAATTTGCTTCTAATTTTATTAAGGGTTGTGCCTTTAATGGCTCAAAACATATTAAAATAGTCTCTGATCATACATGAGCCCAAAGGAAATAATAGAGTACTAGAGTGTCTTTCTCATCCCAAAACACCTTTTTTATACCAACATTTCATGAAATTGTTAATTATCTCTGGCCACTTCCTTCTAATTTGAGCCTAAGGCAGACTGTTGGCAGGAATAAGCATGCTTCTGCACATTATTGGGAGGAACATGTTCTGTGTAGTTGTCAAGTGATGAGATATAGTATCTAAGGTCCCACATTTCTTGGACATTGTTCATCAAAATTGTTCATGCCAACAACGTGTTGAATGTTTGTAATTGAGTTGGAGAAAGAAGAGAAACGTTTCAGAAAAGTTTCAGAAAAGACTGGGGATGAGGGGAGCGCGACATTCTATTACCGTAGCTGGGAGTTTATTTCGTATCAAGAGCTTGTTGGGGTGGAAGATTGATTGATGATGCCTATGCCTCTTCCTCATCAATAGGATTCCCATCTTTTTTTTCTCTGGCGAAATTGGAAGGCACTTAAAATATACTATTCTCCATTTCCATTAGTCATCTTATTTCCATCCGCTTTCAGCTCTATGGGTTATGCTGAAGGAGGTACAGAGTGACTATTTGGCCAAACAAAATGAATGAATACGAACTCCCTCTTGGTCCATTGGGAGGTGAGACTCGTACCTCTTTACCCGTTGGGACATTTGCTGCGTGAATAGCAGCAAAATTCCAGCTCTGACTGAACTAGGCATCACCAGTTGGATACAAGGCGCCACTGGCAAATGTTTTCCTTTGTTCTTTCCATTTAGCGCGCAAAAGCCAATATGTGTGACACATGCATTGAAGAATAAAACGCATGCCCGTGGGCACAAATGCAATTATATATGTTCATAACCGAATGTATATTACAATGAATGAGGCTAAATGAAAAACAGTACAGAAATGTCTCACACAAACTGCTAACTTCATGCCAGGATATCTAATATGCCCAGATTGTTTATGATATGATACTACCTGCTTTTTCTGACTGTCTTAGGATGCCTGCAAAGTGCAGACTAGCCTTGGGCTTAATGTATGCTGTGTAGATCATCTTTGGGTATCATCTTTTGTGCTTGAAGTGGACATCCACATCTATTTTCTTCTTTGTGAAAACAGATCAGGGATTTTACAGAGACATTTTTCACAGAAAAAAGTTTTTGCTCCCTCTATTATTGTTTTGTAAGGAATATATAAACATTTTGCATTACTTTGTCTTTTGTCATAATTAAATAGGGGAGCAGGTAGCTGCCACCTACTTCCGACCACTCAAAAGATTGCATAGATAGCCTTCGTGTTGATTTTACTGTATTCGTGTTGTTTTGTGATTAATGATCTCTCATTAGTGTGAAGACGTATGTATCCAATTGTACTAACAGTGAATGAAACGGGAAAGGGGAGAAAGATCACAAAGATAGGCAGCCAAAGAAGAAGTAGCTGGTCAGAAAGGCCAGCTGCTAGTAAACACTCTAACAATGTGACATTGTTGTACTCCTTGCCTGGCCAGTAGATCTACTTTGTCATTGGCTTCTCTGAATGTTGGTCAAAAGATTTCTCTTGTATGTTTTCTGTAAGCATGCTTTCTTTAAAAATACTTGCCATCATCCTCCATGGGATATCTATTTCATCCCGTGCCCATCTTATCAAATCAGGGAATTCCCTTCCATGATAATTGGAACTGGGAATTGGGATAATTTCTTGGGTCAGGGGGACGGCCAAGCTCTCTGTGTACGTGGAATTACAAATGCCTGCAGGTCCTGAAGAGGCCATCCTACACTTCCCTTGGCCCTGGATTACCTCCAGAGCTGCCATTGAAGATGAACATTGGTGTACCCAAACTCGTTATCAACATTGCCTGAGCCCCATGGAGCTCTGTTTCCCTGTCTTTTTTGAGTTAGTCTAACACTAAATGAACAAGTGGTTTAATGAGTTCCCAGTGAGGATTGACTCTGTTTCCCTGTCTCTCATAAAATATTGCATATTAAAACCCCTGAATCTTCAAGGCTAGAGCCCATGATAGAACTACTTTTCTAGCCATCCTTCTACCGTTTAAAATGCATTCATTTTGTTCCTTCCTAATTTTCCAAATAAATTTAGTAAAGCATAAGCTCCAGTGAAAAAAGCCTGTAGTTCCAGTGATAAAACTCTCTAGGAGTGGCAAATAGAGAACACCAACGACTTAAAAATTTGTTGATTGGTGCTGCTATCACCCAGCTAGTTCAGAAGTGACTAAGAGTTATGTCTTCTCTTTGCATATTCATGTTTGTTTTTTCCAAATGGACAATTGGAATTTCACTGCATAGCCAAATGGCTGCCAGTGTTGCACTAATCATTTCAAATTATGATTGCTGCTAGTGTTGCACTAGTCATTTCAAAATTATGGATGAGGTGGTTAGTAGTATTCATATTTATTTTGTAATGCATAGCTGTTTCAGTGTGTTGTTATTTCTCCTCCGTGGTTCGACTTCGTATGTGACATGAGTGGGAAAACAATCATGTCTATATCCTTGCGACAACTTCTGTTGTTTATGATAATGTACTTATTATTGTTATTGATCGATTTTTTTAGAAATAATTTCCTGTTAGAAAATAAGTTTCTGTATATTTGTTGCAGCTTTACATGTTTTTCTATTGTTGGCTTGTCCCCAAATTGTCTCAGTCCAAATCCTTTAAAATTTTCATTATTCCATTTGAATCTTTGTTCACTTACAAATGCTGCTCTGTTCTAGTTTTTTGGGTGCTTGCAATTGTTTTAGATAAAAGTCTTCTCATCCATAGTGAGACCCTTGGTGGAATTACGTTACACATGCCCTGAGTAAGTTCACATTGATTTCAATTACTTGGTCAAATTAGCTGAATCTTAGTAATACTTACTCGCGGTAGTTAGGACCATCTATTTTATAATGTGAATATACTAATTACATATCTATTTTGAAGTGAATGTGCCACATTTCTTTAACGTATCTTATTTTGTTTTATCAAATTTATGATTTGAATTTTGTCAAAACTCCCTATTTTTTCCCTACATTTCTTTCTTTCATTAAAAGTGAATTGCTACATCAATAATAGGCTGAGTTACCATTTCAACTTAGTTGGCTTATATACTTTTGTTGATGTGACTTCAGTTCCTCACAAGTAGCCTTCCGAGAATTTTGCATCATGATGCTTATAACTATGACTGACAAGAATATGACATTTAACTGAGAATATGACATTTAGTTATCACTGATAGTATTACAAAATAAAGGGCACTGGAGTTCATGTTTTCATGTATGCCATGGTCCACTGGATCTGGAGACAGATGATTTGCTTCTTTCTTTCTCTACCTAGTTTGTTTAGTATCTAATGGTAGCTTCAACTTTTCGTTGACTGAATTTTAATTTATGTATGTAGGAGTTCTGATGTATCCCAGAGTTGTCGTGCGATTTGGCTTCGAAAGGAGCTGGACAAACATGAAATTACTTTACCTGAAAGGTGGTGATCATATTTTTCTCTTTTTGTGTACTTTGTTATTTTCCGACTCGTGATCTTAATTTTATCATCAACATAATGAGAGACTTGACTATGGCATGGTTTTACTATCTATTCATGGGTGTATCTATTGCCTTCAAGCTTTAAGATTCAACAAGTAGTGGCTTGTAGACTTGAAGTTGTATTATGTGAAGACAAATCTTGCAATTGTTAGCAAGTATAGATCATTTTTTATTGTAGGAGTTCATAGCTTCTATTCTTGTAGGATTGATGAAGATGAGCTCCTCCGGTTTTATGCTGCATCAAATGGTGATTTTTCATGCTTTCTTTCGTCAATCAAGAAAACGATTAGATGGAGGGAGACATTATGCATTCTTTCAACTGAGCAGTTAGAGACGTGGTGCCATTTGGTGTTTTGGCATGGATATGACATAAAGTTTCACCCATGCCTTGTTATTCGACTTGGGCTTGCCTGCTCTATGTTAGAATCTCATGACAGACCTCGACTTGCTCAAGCTATGGGTATGGATTCTCAGACTTTACAGGTTCCAATATTTAATATTTATCATGTATCTAGTCTCAAATAAAAGATAAGCTTTTTTTGAATTCTAATCAATTAATATGTATCGCAAAGAAACAACGACACTAGAAATGGGTTTACATTTGTTTAAAATAGGCACAAGGTTGTATAGCCTACCAAGATCTCTATTTATGGTTTGATACTAGAAAGTGACTTCGTGAAGCTAGCTTGAGTGTTTGGTATTTTATGGCTCAAATTATACTTGATGCTTACTATTATCCTCTAATCCATGTGTTTCTTAGCTGGCTAATTAATAATTTAGTGATTAATGTGCATTTTCTTCGTAGTTTGGGCTATTATGAGTTGCTGGATGAAGAGGTAGTCGAATGCAAGTTCTTTTTCTCAATACTTCATCAACAATGTAGCTTGACCACACAAATAACCAGCTAATATAGTAGACCTTTCCGTCAAATGCTCTGTTGAATAGCTCAGGATCTATTGGATTGTGTCAATTCTGCATTGTGCAAAAACCCCTTTATTCTTATTTTCACATTTTTATTGACAAGAAAGTTGGACATTAGTTGTAGTAATCTTTCACTTTTGAAAAATATGCAAATTCTTGGTGGTGCCATGGTGGCTTCAATCTGGATACATGGATAAGACCTCTAGGGTGATTTGGAACGTGGATCTAGAGAAAGCATGTACAAAATCGAGTGGTATTTTTTGGAGTACGCAATGAGAATGAGGGGATATCAAGATATATAGAGAATGCGGGTTTCTGGCTGCCTGTCATCTGGTCACTTCTCAGCCATAATAAGGGCGGCTATTTTAGTGGTTCAAGAGGCCTAAGGCTAGGGGATCTCCCTTTCTGTTCTCCACTGTGGCAGAGGCTTTTACTTGTATGGTAAATGGTGTCGATGAATCAGGAACATTAAGAGGTTTCAAGTCATTATCTAAAGGCTCAATGATAACCCATTTACAATACACTGATGATATGCTTATGTTTTGCAGTGCAACACAGTGCCATAGATGCAAAAGCTTTATCATTTTTTTTCTTTGTGATGTTTTGAGGTGGTTTCAGGCATGAGAGTTAATGTGGCAAAGACCAAGTTGATGGTTATTTTGGTTTCTGAAATGATTTAGCTGTATTTTCCAGTTGTGTGGGGTATGGGATGGATAGGTTACCCAAGTAAATATCTCATGTTGCCGTAATATACAGGGAAACCAGGGAAAAGGATGGGGGGAGGGGTTTTGAGGAGATTCCAAATAAAATTGGCCTCCTGGAAGAGGCAGTTCCTATCATCTGGTTGTAGAATCAAATTTAACTAAATTAACCATATCTAACTTGTAGAATTTATATGCCATTGTTCTCTATCCCTTCAACGATAACAATTCAAATTGGGAAGCTGGTCCGTGGTTTTGTTTGGGTAGGGATAGAGGAGAAGCATGGTTTTCATTTGGTCAGATGGAGCACAGTTTGTAAACCAAGGAAGAGGGGTCCCGGGGGGAAATAAGAAAGGGGAAGTGAAGAGGGAGGGTCGCTGTTGTTCTGGGGTGTGCGCTGTTGGCGTTAATAAATTAAAGGGACTAACCAAGCCCTTTCTTTCCAGTGTTGGTGGATGTTCAGAGGAGAAACATCGCTTTCACTTGGTCAGATGGAACAGAGTCCATAAATCAAAGAGTAGAGGATTTTTATTTTTTATTTTTAGTTTTTTTTGTTGGCAGGGGGGGGGTGGTTTGGCGTTGGGGTAGAGTTGGAGTTAGAACAATACCAAGCCCTTTCTCCCAACTGTTGGTGGATTCTTCATGCAGAGGGGTCAGGAGGACTGTAATTGAAATAGATTGTGATGAAGATGAGTCAGGTTGACATAAACAGCTGCTGATCATGCTTTACAATTAATATCAGAGTACAGGTTGGTAATGGAAGGGAAAAAGAAGGTTTTGGAAGGACTTGTGGCTTGGGGAACTGCCTAAATGTGTGGTACCCAGGTTTATATACTTAGGCTTATAACTAGAAGGAACAGTGGCTGAGAATGTTGAAGGGCTTGGACAGAAATCCATTTGGACCTCCTGCCTAAGAGTGTCAGTTGAGGAGGTCGAGCTGGAGGAGTTTATGAACTTGCTGGTGGAGAAATTCTTCCTCATGCCAAAGGAGTACCACAGTCTGATATGGGCTCCTGATAACCATGGTGTTTTCTCAATGATATCTTTATACTGTGTCCCAACATGGGGAAAAAGTATGGTCCATTCCAGGATCTCTTAAAATGCAGGCTACTTGACTGTTCACCCCAAAACAGAATTTTGACAGTGGACCATCTGAAAAGCAGAGATATGCCCATTGCAAGTGTTTGCTCAATGTGCAGAGGTGATTGAGTAACAGTAGATATTTGTTTCTGCATTATTCAAGTTCAGCTGGTTCTCTGGTGCCTTTTCCAATTGATGATTTATTTGGGCACAGTGGTTTGCCTCACCATTGCACAAGTTTGGCATTATCTTGTGGGGAATGACAGTAATGGGGAAAATATGGATCATTTGGATGGAGAGGAACAACAGATCTTCAGGGATAAGTGATACAGGACAGATTAGATACACGATATTCTCAGTGCAACAATCTCTTCATGGGATTGATTGTTAAAAGACTTCTGGAGCCTCTTGGTGGCAGGCTTGGATAACCACGAGGGATTCCATAGTTGTTGGGATAGAGAGCAGGGGATTGTGAAAGACTAGAGGATCGTTATAGTTGGGAGCGCCTTCCGTGCTATGCATATGTTAAGAATTGAGATTCCTAAAGTTAGGGATCTCAATCCCAACTTTTTGGGGATCCCGATCCCTATCTTTTGGGATCTCGATCCCATCCTTTGGGGGCTCTTGTTCCCTTGAGGCTTAAGCGTGAATAGACAATGGTGCACTTGTGGAGGGAGGATAATGAAGTAGCAGATGCAGTGGCAAGGGAAAGAATCTCAAAACCCTCAGGAATAGTTTCTTTCATTGAGTAATGATGGGGAGGAAAAAAAAGCAAAAAGAAAAAAGGAAAGTTATAGTAATCTCATACTACAGTCACGTACTCATTCCTGCTCCCAAAATCATTGTTCTGGTACTCATTGGTAATTGGTTATTTCTATATATATTTTGATTCCTTAGGACTTTTACCGGTTGTGATGATGGACATATGTCATGGTATGTCTTGATGGGTTAGCTTGTAATCTTTTGACTTTTCATAAATCAATGCATAATTTACATTTTTTGCAAGTAGTATTATAGCTGTGGAGATCTAGTCCTGTTAACATTGAGCAAGGGTGGGACTTTTTCGGTGGAGGCCTAGATTGAAATCCTGAGGTATTTTCTATTATGACTTGGTGAATATGTAACTTGCATGACCTGAATCATGAGACCCATCTTGTTGGAAGGTCCTTTAAACAGATTCAACATGAGTGGTTCTTGTAGGCTTTCTCACTATAGTATGCAAAGTTGGTCCTTGATTTTCAGTAGATCTTGTAGCTCCCATTACAACTCATAGTTGCTGGAATCTCTCCACCAACCTCGCAGTTCTGGTTCCGAAACTCGATTCCGCATTATCTCTCCACCAACCTCGCAATTCTGGTTCCGAAACTCGATTCCGCATTATCTCTCCACCAACCTCGCAATTCTGGTTCCGAAACTCGATTCCGCATTTCTGTTAAGGAATCTCTACGGAAACCATTTTTTGGAACCAAAGAAACTCGATTCCTTAATTTTGGAATCTTGATTGAACACATCTTTAGAAACCATTTTTGGGAACCAAGGAAACTCAATTCCTTAATTTCAGAATCTCGATTCAACACATCTTTAGAAACCATTTATCGGAACCAAGGAAACTCAATTCCTTAATTTCCGAATCTTGATCCAATACATCTTTAAAAACTTGAACCCAGTAATTGTGGGTAGACGTTCCCAAATATATCGAATCTGGATTCCTGCGATGATTAAATCTTGATTAGAAAATAAATAAATTCAAAGTATCAAAAAAAAAAAAAATTCAAAGTACATAATGTTCAGTGTCTATGATGGTTGTGCACTCCCTAAAGGAAATAGGAGTAGAAATTTTCCTTCAAATGTCTCTAGTGGTTGTAGGTTTTCATTATTTTACTTGTGCCACCCAAACGGATTTTACTTTAAATTTAAAATATAACCGGTAAATACAACACTTACAATTAAAAGTAAAACCATGGTGTAGAAATAATCCTATTTTGTTTTTATGATAGTGAAGTCAAAATCACAATTTAGAAATACTCATCTTTTGTATATAATGACTGTAAGTTCAATAGTCAACACAATCACTTTAAATTTGGGAAACCTTCTAATAAGATACCCAGTATAGGTTCTAAAGTTGATAAGGTTCAAGATGTGCTTTGGGCTTCCTTCTCCATAAAAATGAAATCTCGTTTCCTGGTAGGGGTCGTCAAACGCATTTCATTGTCCATATTATTGTAAATCTCGATCTCAAACTGGCATGGATCTCTGATCCATATACTTCAAAAACTTGATTCCTAATATGTTCGAATCACGATTCGAAACAACAATATATCTTTATTCCACATATGTCAGAAACTCGATTTCATAGATGTCGGAAACTCGATTCTGCATATTAATGAATCTTGACTCTTGGAGTGTCGATTCCACGGGGGTGGAAATCTCGATTCCAAGGAGGACGGAATCTCGATTCCATATGTGGATGAAACTTGGATCTATTTCGGTCGAATCACGATTCTCAAAAACTAGGAATCTCACTCCCCACGATACCTATTGTACGGATAACGATTCCTAAGACAGGAATCTTCTAGTCGGCAGCGATTCCCTTATTCTGCTTTCTAAAACGATTTGGGTTACCAGGCGTTTCCAACAACTATGTTACAACTTCACTCAAACGGATGTATTTTTTTTTTATAATATTTGATTAGATCCATTGTGAATAACTTGATTAAATGCCATAAATTTCTGCTTGTTATCTCTTCATCAGAATTTTGCAAAGAAATGTCTTGTGGAATTCTCTACCAAAAGTAATTTGCTTGTGTCCCTCACAGTTTCCCAGATAGAGCATGGTGTACTGCATCATGTTATGGAGAAAGATCCTCGAATTACAGTTTTGATGGACTGTGAAGGCCTATCAACACTCAAATTTCCAATGCATATGATGAAATCTTTGTCTACCCTTGTGCAAGATCATTTCCCAAACCGGCTCGCTACACTTTATGTGATCAGGCTCCCTCCAGTTGTTCGAATAATTGCACAAAGTTTTATCCAAGTAAGCTCCCAATCAACGACCATCTGATAATTTCATTATATTCTTGTCATGACAATGGATTTTGTGTGCTTCATATGGATTTTGTTCATTCAAAATTTGATTTGCATTAAAATATATTTTCTGTGCTAATTATATACATAATATACATATATTTATTTATTTATTTATTGTGCATACTGTTGTATTTATGGCAACACAATCTGGATATGTTGGAAGACAAGCAGATCTATATCCCAAAGGGTCTATTTATTTTGTCATTGTCCTGATTTGAAAATTGCTGTCTCATGAATGGCTAGACATGGGAACCGCACTCAAGAAGAGTTTGCTTCCTTGTGAAGTCACCAACTCTAGGCTGAAGTCATTATTTCCTTGGACTCGATTGGGTCTGATATTGTTCATGATGGGATTGATACTGAAAGACTCATTAACCCTTCAATTTTAATGAGGTTCTAATACAATGAATCAATGATATAAAGATCAAACTTTAGACTGATTTTGATGATATCCTCTTGAGCTTTCACTCCCCTTTGGTTCTATGTTACTGTAATATGTCATATAATTTATTCATACATTTCACATAACTGATATTTGTTGAAATGTGTGGAGTTATTTTATCTAAGAGTTTTCACATTTTTTCTTTTGAATGTATTGTATGTGTCGGTAGCATGATTATGAGATGTTTGGTGAAAAAATATTGGTTTAATTGAATACCCAGTTGCAAAGAATTTTGGCTAATCTTCCATTTTTGTTGGTTCATCTGAGGTTCTTTATTTTTCTTTGGAAAACCTTATGGAAATCCCGTTTGATTATCGGTATTAAAAAATGGTCCCCTGTATTTTAGTTTATGCTTAAGTCCCTTATTTTGTTTTCTATTTATCTGATGCACCTATTCTTCTCACTATCTCACACCTAAAAAATATAAAAAATCAAATTAAATAAAATGACTAAATTGCCCTACAAGTTTCTAGGGTTTCAAAGGTATTTTGGTCATTTCATTTCTTGCAAATTAGTTATTGTATTTTTTACAGGTGCGCAATGGTTAGATGCATGGATGCCCCAAAATTTAGCTTCATTCGACGAATAGAAAAAAATAAAACTAAAAATACAATATGCCCTCTTAAAAAGTTGGATTAGACGGTAAAATATAAAAGTGGGTATTTTTAAATTTCAAAATTAAAATGGGATTTTTCCTTAAAGTTCCCCTTATACCTATTTTTTATCAACATTTCAAGTTACACATGAATTTTCATGGCAAAAACTACAAGATCTTTCAAGTTATATTTCAAAAGAAAAAGATCTAAGCAAATTAATGGTAGCAGCAGTATGCTTCCTGACCTAAATCTGAACCAAATTTTAGATTTTCCATTTTTCACATATACTGCAATTTTTTAAAAAATGTGAACAATTACTCAAACGATTTAGCCTTACTCTCTCCTTGAAGAATTTGTTTTTTCTCTCATCATAGCTTAAATTATTTAATCTTCTCTGTACTAGTCTTCTAACTCAAAACTTGTTCATAGATTCTAAAGCCTGTGACTCGAGAGAAGCTGCGATTTGAAGGGAACACATACTTGAGAGTCCTGATGGAGCAATTTGAAACAGTCCCATCATTTCTTGGGGGCCAATGCTCATGTCCAAAGTGTGCACTTATTGATAATCAAATGGGCAGTTTGACTAGGAATAACAGAGGCCAGACCCGTGGGGCCCAAGGGAGCACGAGCAATGGTGGGGCTCCCGAGGCTTGCGGAGAAGATGAAGTGGAGGACCTTGGGTTTTATCGTGAACCATACAATGACAGCTGTGATCAGATGCTTAGGACCACTATATTGAGCATCCTCATGGTGTGGATCTTCATTGCTTTCTATGCGGGTATGCGTGATCCTGAAAGTGATTCCTGGTTGTAGTAATAGGGTTGTCTTTGTGCTTCTGATATCTATGTTACTTTTTTGTTGCATTAATAGCTTGTAGTTAGTAGTAACTCCTATTTTTTGGGCTGACCAGCAGTTCTCTCTCCTCCCCCCCCCCCCCTTAAACAAAGAAACCAGGTATATCTCGTATTTTTAAAATGCCTTGCTATGTGTAATCACATTTTTGTATTAGACTGTGAAAGATAGTTTAGGTTTTTTTTTTTTTGTTCTTCTGGAGAAATTTGAGGAATATAATTTTGTATATTTTGAAATAAATTTGGCTGTAGCTCTTGTTCTTTGTATAGTGGCCTTTCTGATATATTCCTTACACCTGGATACGTCATATTTTCCAAAGCCTTGGCATGACCGATCTCATTTTCATGTTATACTGCGGAAGACGGTCATTTGCATTTTGAAGTAAATTTGGCATGAGCTTGTGTTATGTCTCGCAGCCATCCTTTCTTTCATTTCACTATAACAAAATGGATACAATCATGTTTACAAACAAATTACATCAAAAAACAAATCCACTACAAACAAACAACTATTCTACACCTATACAACAATCTCTATATTCCCGTACACATCCACTCAACAATTACAATTTCTTCCTCATCTACTCCTTGCTTTGCCAACAAATCAGCTTCCATGTCCCTCTCACTATATACATGTTCAAAGTTAACCTCCATCTCTTCTTTACACCATCTTATTACATTAAAAGAATCATCTTCCATTGTAATCTTCCTAACAAATCCATTGCTTATTTTAATCCCTACAACACTGACCTCAACTCTGATTTAAAAGCCATCGCACGCCCAGTCGGCCCAAACTACCGAATTAGAATCGCACCATTACAGTCTCTTATCAATCCCCCTATCCCTGCCCTCCTTGGATTACCTAAAGAATTCCCATCGATATTTACTTTAATAACTGCCTCTCCCAATGACCTCCCAAATCTTATTAGTTTTACTATATGCCCTTTCCTCATGATCACCTCGTCAATTTCATGCATAAGACACTCGGACTCCCTGAGATACTTTTCCCCTATAGTGCTGCATTCTGCAACCTGCACTCTAAATCTTCTCAAATGTTCCCTTGTTTCCCACCCCACCCTCAAAACATTCTTCTATCTTGCTCCTTCCAAACTTCCCAAACAACCACAGCTTTAACAATATTCTACAGCAACTTTCCTGCACTAGCAACACTCACCACCTCCCACGGACTGAAAATATCACAGATCTGTTCTGGAATGAGAACTGATAGTGTCATCTCACTAAACGTCGATTCCCATTATTTGTTTTGTATAACCACAGTGCAAGAGCAAGTGTTCACCCGTGCCCTCATAGGCTTTACATAACATGCACACATTAATGATAATCTTACTTCTTCTTAACACATCAATTGTCAACAGTTTCTTTAAACTAAGCAACCTAGCGAAAAAATGTACCTTCATTGGTATTGGCGGGCTCCAACACCATCTCTGTCTATCATTAAACAACATAAAAGCACTGATTTTACAGAGAGCTCCCCTAATGAGCTGAGCTCCCAAATCACTCTGTCTTCAATCCAAGGAAAACCGCTTAGCCACAGTATCATTTTGTCTTCTACATCTATATCTCAAATTCCACTGCCCATCAAATCCTTTCCCATCCACCTTATCTTTAACCCTCTTAACAACTGTAGTCATGAGAATGGCTTTTTGGCTTTCAAATTCTATAGGAAGTGTTTTAGTTCAAGGTTTTTTCAATTGCCTCATATATTTACTTGTGTATTTTCTCTCTCCACATAAAGCTATAGCTCTAGAAATGGCTTGCTGGTTTGTAATAACTGGTATTACGCATAGTTTCCTGTCCTAGTGAAAAACAACAGGTTTTGATGCATGGGAAAAAACCCGAGCACACAATGACAAAATTATGGAACAGCGAAAAGTGGGGAATGGTTCCAAGGCTTGAAAAGCAATTACCTATCTTCACAAAACCCATCCTCTCTCTATCTCTTTTATATATATATATATATATATATATATAGAAGATATTAGGGTGAGCCCACTAGCTCACAGGGAAAAATGAGTCCAACAGTTCAGATTGAATCTGGGCCGATCTGACGATCACGGATGTTTGGTAGTGTTTGAATTTTATTTTATTTTTTTTACAAATCCAAATCAGTTGAAATTTGGAGTGTGTGTACATCAAAAATAGGTGAATCTTCTAAAAATATCAAAAAAATATTTTACATGAAGTAAATTGATCAAAATATCTCCAAAAGTTTTGGGGGTATTTTGATTAATTGATTTTTACGAATTATTTTTTTAATATTTTTATTACGCGAAGCTTAATGAGAAGAGTACATGCCTAAAATTTCAAGTGATTTGGATTTGTAGAAAATAAAAATAAAAATTAAAATTAAAGCACTACCAGACATCTGTGTTCATCATATCAGAATGTGGGTCGTAATATTTCATGAGGTAGTGGGCTCACCCAAGCTTTTTCCTATATATATATATATAGTTGATTGGAGGCTGTCTCACATCCTTGTTTTTCTCGCTCTACGAGGTTCTCTTCGTTTTTTTGTAAAAATCATATATTTAGCTATATGCACCAGTCGGTAAGAGTCATAAGAGGTTTAGGAAGAATTCGGTAAGAGTCATAAGAGGTTTAGGAAGAATTTGGTTTACTTCTCACGTGATGGTAAGTTTATCTCTTACATATAAGAAGGTGAAAGTAACTTAAAGAATAAAGGGGTGAAGAAAGAGAGTTAAGCGAGTTCACATGGGTCTTAGATTGCTACATATATGATGCATATATTCGCGCATATACATGAAACTGAGTGTATTAGAAGAAGTCAATCATTAAGGCTATTTTTGTAGGTAATTGATTGATAAGTTAAGAGAGAAGAGAAAAGATCTCCAGATGGTCTTTATTGATTTAGAAAAATTATACGATTAGGTATTTAGAGAGATAATGTGGGGGGTGTTGGAAAAGGAGTAGCAAGAGGATGTATTGACATAGTTAGGGAGATGTACGAGGGAGCACTAACTAATATGAAAACTAGTGGAGATACAAATGAGTTTTCAGTCACAGTCGCCTACATCAGGGGTCAGTGTTGAGACCATATATCTTTGCTTTGTTTATTAACGAATTAAGTATGCATCTATAGGATGAGGTCCTGTGATTTATGTGGACGACATATCTTTGTTGTGGATGACATAATTCTGATTGATGAGACTAGAAACGACATAAACGATGGTTTAGAATGTAAATATTTTAAAATTTGTTCGACTAATATAGCTTTAGTAATAATAGGAGCTGAAACAAGGAATTGGTTAATATTGATGGCCAAGAAGTACTGAAAATAAAATATTTTTGATATCTTGAGTCAATAATCTATGAAAAATTAGAGATTGGAGAAGACGTTGCTCATAGAATTAGAGTTGTGTGGATGAAGTAGAGATGTGTTTTTAGAGTCTGAGGTCGTATACTAATGAAACTAAAGGAGAAGTTTGTAGGATAGTTGTAACACCAGTCATGCTTTATAGGACAGAATGTTGTGGGGTAAAGAAATAGCCTATCCATAAAACGAATAGAACTGAAATAAGGATGTTGAGATGGATGCGTGACAAGATAAGAAAGAATTTGAAATGAATATATTTGAGGGATTTAGGATTAGTCAGGATAAAAATGAGGGAAAGTAGACTTAAATGGTCTGGTCATATGCAGTGTCAACCTAGAATAGCAGGGTCTTTTTCTTGTCATTTTATAGCTTTCCACTTGAATTAAATCACCCTCGTAATGTTGACTTGTAGTCTGACTGAGGATATGGCCTTTGATAGAACAGAATGACGGTGCAAGATTTTTCTAACCGATCCTAAATATTTGGGATAAGGTTCAGATGGTGATGAAATGTAGTGAGTTCTCTTTTGATGGAATGAATAAGAGAGAGCTTTTTCTTTATGCAAGGTGATTGGTGTGTGTTTTGTACGTGATCCATCCATATTCTTTGACTCTCCCACCAACCCCGAATACATTTCCCATTTCTCTGTTTTTTTTGAATTTTGGGATTTTTATGTTTATTTTTTTTCCTTTTTTCAGCCATTTTCATGCTTGTGCACTAGAGAGTCGACTCAAACGGACCCACCCAAGTTACTTGGATCGGGTAATGGCCAAATTGTGAGTGCGAACCGAGTATTCAAACCTTGATTGCATTGGTTATGGGGCAAGTTGAAGGGGCTCTTGGCTCCATGGATTTTTTTTGGAAGAACATTTTCTCATCATAATTATTTTTTCACATTTATTGCGGGATTTTGGTTTCCTGGTAGGAGTTCCTGGCTAATTTTTTTTAATGTCCCATCAAATTTTGAAAGAAAAACTTCCATATCTTT